AGGCTGTGTGTCCACTCCCCTGGCAGTGGCTCTCCACTCTGGTTCCATTTCAGCCCAACGTGGACTAGAAACAAGAAATTGTGCAATGGTCACCCTCACACCTTGGGGCCAGACTTCTCAGAAGCTTTTCAGTTACACTAGGGGAACAGAGCCACAGGCTAATGATGGGACCTCATACAGGCTTGCAGTGGTAGGTCACCTAAAGCATTATTTTTATTTAAAAAAACTAACAACAATAGTATCGACATAAAGTGGAAAATTTGCTTGACTTTAATAGTTAAGTCATTGTGGTTTGCTGAGAGTCACTTTGGGCTAAGAACACACACTCTTAGGGGCCTGTTCACGCTCACGTTCCTCCACTACTAGGATTACCTTTGTGGAAAGGTTTGAGAGGCCCCATCCTTGGGTCTGTCTTGACCTTGAACCTCAGGTGGGTCTGGATGCGCTGAGGAGGCCTGATGGCTGAGCTGCCAGCACAGGTCCCAGGGGAGCAGACTCATGAGCCCACCTGCAGTAGCTAAGGCCCAGAGGTGAAGTAGGACGACCTCTGTCCCCGCTTCAGCATAGCTGAGCACCCCACTGAGCTTTCAGAGGCTGTCTGGCCAAACCTGGAGTCTCTGACAGTACGCAGAGAATGAATGAAACAAGGGAGGGAAAGCCAGAGGCTAGACTTGAGCATCACCCGCCAACACCTACACAGTTGGCGAAGTGGGGTGAGTGAAGTTCTCTCAGCCCCAGCGTGCTGGGGCCCTGCCCAAAGGAGAAATGATCCCAGAGATGGCAGTCTCATCTCGAAACGATGCTCTTGGAAATTAAGCCCTTGAAAGCCACTTCTCCAACTGAGAATCTGGGTCTAACCAACCCCCAAATTCGCCTTCCCCTTGTTGGCAGCATCAAGCGCGGCAGGGCAAAAGCTAAATGAGAAACTGAGATGGCAAGTTTGGAGCCAACTCGGAAACTTTTCAAGAAACATCCTTGTTGCTAATAACATGTCTGGGGGCTGGTTGGGATTCTAGGATTAGTGTTCAGGAGATAGAAATGGGTAACAACGGGGGAGGTGTGATCTTTTTCAAGTGCCATACCAGGTATTAAAATAAACAGGCTCTTGCCTCCTGGAGCTGGGGGTGGCAGGGAAAAGAAATCTGGGTCCAAGTAAAATCAGAAAAAGCATTAATGCAGGAAGTGGGAGTAGGAAGGCCCAGACCTGGGAGTCCTCAGCTGTTTTCCGACCTCAGAAACAGTGTACCTGAGATCTCAGAACTTCCTAGTTGCCGCTCTAGGGGCAGAGGACAGTGCAACCTCAGGTGAAAGTCTGGAGCAGTGTGCCCTGAACGTACCGGTATCCTGGGGGTGCAAAAAGGCTGGCTGTGGCCGAGAGCAGGATGTGGCCTATTACGGAAGTCTACAGTGGAACGAAGGAAGCTGTAGCGTAGCAGGAAGGACATGGAGAGTTAGAAGATGTGGGGATATTAAATTCACAAGACAGGCAAGGGAATAAGCAGGTATCATGTGCATGGAAGTGCTTTAACCATTTTTCAACTGCCACAGAACACGAGTATTACTTTACAAGAGGAAGTAGGTGAAAAGGTGTGAGCCTCTCTCTCTGGCAGTGATTTTTCACCCTGCCTGTGAATTAGAAGTGCCCGGGGAGTTTTTAAAAATGCAGATTCCCCCAGGTCCCATCTCAGACTGATTCAATAGAACCATCAGTCTTTTGGGGAAAGCTCTCCAGGTAATATTAACGTGCACCCAACAGTTGAGAGCCTCTACCTAGGGACTTTCTTTGCCCAAACCGACATCATTCTTTAAGTGGTGACCCTCGTTAGATCTCAATAAGGCCCCCTGTGTATCTTTGACCCTGACCCCACTCCTCCCCAAACGTAATTTCTGTTACAGCTTGGGCTGACTGTAGCCTGGCAACATGGAGACGACAACAAAGTTCCTGGCTGCCAAAGGCAGTTCATTCATGGTGTTTGGACAAAAGGCAGCTACTGTTTCCGAGCACCTACTTGGTGCCAAGCACTGTGCAGAGCGTTTGACCTACACTCTCGTGGTGAGCGAGGTTCAGGGACTCCTGGTATTGGGTCCCTCAGTCTAGCCTCTTTCCCCCACTCCAGGCTGGGGGAGATTTCGGCAGCTGTCAGCTCCTCAGAACGCAGGGACAGGGCCCTCTGTCTTGACAACACCTAGGTCATGTGCTCCCGCAACACAAATGCAGGTCACTAGACTTGAACTCCTTGGGAAGCTTTACTTCTCTCTGGTTGGGACCATGCAGATTCTGAGCCCAGGTCTGAGAGGCTTTTGTAAACTGAGAGATGAGTGAGATGTCCTGGGTAATAGAAAACTGATGAGATGCCCCGCTGGCTGGCGGCTGACACCACAGATCAGAAAAAAGCTGCTGCCAGTGCCCCTGGGACCATCTGCCTGGGCCCCCCCGCAGGGGACCTGCCAGGGAAGATGGATTGGCTCCTCTGAGTGCTCCCCTGCCTGCAGAGGTGGTGGTGGTTTGGGGCTTGGTCGACAGGAGCCTCCACGAGATACATGATTCTTCCTCGAGTCAATTTTAATTTCATCTGCCTGAATCTCTGGGAGGGCTAGGGCAGTCAAACAGAAAAGTTTTAATAGAGTGGTTATTAATGCTCTGTCCCTGCCCTGGCCAGTTGCATTTTGTCCTAGAGTGTCAGTTCTGGGAACAAAGTACATACCACAAACTTCATTTTGTGTAAATGAGAGTTTATTGAGAAGACACAAGGTCAAGCTTCCCGTAGCCCCACCCTCCCCAAGAACAGATCCCATAAGAACAGAAGAATGAGAAGCATTCTCAGGGCAACATTTACCCCTCCCCCCTCCCCCTTTCTGTCCAGAGTCCCACGCTTCACAACACAGACACACGGAACTGGCTTGGGTGAGGACAGACACTCAGGGAACCTCTGACCAGCAAGAGTTCTGGGTGTTTGCTTCCCTTGCCCTTTGTATGATGCCAGCTGATGTACAAAGATACACTCAGGTGGAGGAGAGGAGCTAACAGGGCAGCCTCCACCCTGCTCCCCCAGTGTGGCCAAGCTTGGAATGGGCCAGAAGGGAAGCTGTGGTGGAGGCAATGGGTCCTGTCTCTTCAGGAGAGAAGTCCTTTTCTGTGAAGTGGAACCCTTCCCTCCCTCTGCTCAGGGGTGCGATGGGAGGCAGCCTCCCCAAGGAGCGAAGAGTTCATGGATTGGCTCAGTCAGGTCAGCTGAGAACAGTAGCTGTCATCCATCCCTGGTGGGGAGGCTGAGAGAAGCCTAGTTTCAGGGGCTGAGGGACACATCCTGGTACAAATTGTGTTGTTTGCTTGCCCTGACACTCTCTTCCTTCTGGAACTAGTTTGCTTTGAGATGAGAACACAGTATTTGGAGTGTGAACCTTCTTCACTGCTTGTATCCAACTAACTCCATGAATGAGCCCCAACAAGGGAACTTTATCAACCTGCTTTTCCACCCCACACATCACCAAGCTGTCCACCTCCAACACACAGCCCTGTGCTATTTCCTATTGCCCACGTGCCTGAGGGGCGGTGAGCGAGGGGCGTATTTCCTTCCCCCGCCCCAGTATTTCTTCTCTTGGACATTTTCAAGATTTAAGAAACAGCTTTGGGGGACCCGCTCTCCCCAAGCTTTGCAACTGGTATGAAGCAGGGTCATTTCAGACAGAGCTGGGGGTCATTTTTGCTCTTGTTTTCCTTCCCTGCATCCAGTGAGTTCAATCTGAGTCCAACATGAGGCCTCTGATTTGAGCAGGGGCATTTGAGAAGAGTGGTCTAGTCATGGACCCTGTATACTGCGTGCCAGGTGATGCAACAAGTGCCCACAGATCAAACAGTGTGCACACTGCTAAACAGGTTGGTGTTTTGGGCACAAAGCATTCTTTGACAAATCATATCCAATGTGTTGGGGAGGAGAGTGGGGCTTGCACATCCCCCCGTCTTTTCAGAGATGACAAGAACTGCTTGACCCTCTGGGATGTTCTTAATTTGCCTTGAAGTCTAAGTAACATGAATAAAGAGCAGATCAGAGCGCTGAAGGGATAAAGAAATTTTCGACATCTCTAAGCTCACTTCATCTCTGCACCCACCCTGCTGGCCTCAAGAACTGTGGCTCCCGAAGCACTGGGAAACATCAGCCACTCCTTCATTCTGGCAGCTTGATTCACCTTCAATTGAAAAGATACTCTGCTGCCACCTGATGCCAATGACTGGGGTGCCCAAATCAGTATGGAGATGTGAAGAGCTGCAAAGCAGGCACAGAAAAGGCAGGAGAAGGCATTGAGGGAAAAACAATGAGACAGTCCTGCAGTGAAAACCCCAGTGAGGGGGTCTGGGGAGACTCGGTCTAGCTCTGCTGCCTAACAGCTGACAGCCAGGCAATAACTTTCTCTCCTTTTATCTTTCTCCTTCACAGAAAAACAGGGCTGGGTAAGTTATTACTCTGTTTCAATTCTACAACTCTATGACTTTAGATCCGAGTTGGACCTAAGGAACACAGGGAAGGGGGTGAGGGGATGGATGCCATTTTGGTTTCTGTTTCCCATCTCTACTCAAACTCCTTCATCAGTGTTATTAATCGGTTGGTTCAGGGGAAAGGAATGTAGTAAGTTGTGACTTCTCTCAGCTTTGGTGCTAACAGGCCCTGTGCTTCCTGCACCCTGAAACGTTGTTCAGGGAAGATCCCTGTGCCCAACTGCAGAACGAGCAAATGAGATGATGATATGGAATGAGGGTAGCACAAAGGCTTGGCCAAGGACAAGGAGTTCGCAGAGAGAGAAAAAAAGGAAAATCCAAATGACCAGGGACAAGGTTGCCACAGATAAGAGAACCCATAAAAGGGTAGGGCAGGTAACTGCATCTCTTTCTCCAGGACTATGTGGTTAACGACAGTCCGTTGTTTTAACACCTTCTACTGGTTACACTACTCCCTCAATTTCTCATATGTACAAAAATATAAAACAATAAAGTGCAGTTTATGTTTCAGTGACACTTTTCCTTGCTTTAATATTTGTTGTCTTTTTCTGCTCTTGAAATGAGCTCTCGATTACAAAATATCAAACTACACTCAAAAGAGGGTGTAGAAAAAGCCAGTCATTGGCATAGCATGGAGAAGCCCACAAGTAAGGACAGATAGCAGCAACGGGTGGCAAGAGGTGGGAGGTGATTGAAGCAGTGGTTACAAATGTTCACAGGAAGCTAAAACTATCCAACAGGTTGTGCCCTAATGTTAGCACAGGTTAGACTAGTCACTACCTTGGTGGGTGGCCTCAGTGTGTTTCGGTTCATATTCTACACAGCAACACAATTTCTTCCAGTTAAGAGTTCTTGGCTTGCACCGATCACAGGGTGACTGGAGGGTACCGGACCAGTCTATTAGTTTTTCAAAATGCTGTCGTAGACCTGATAGATGTATTGAGAGACTTCAGGAGCTCTACACTTCAGTGACAGCTGTTAGGAGGAAAAAGAGATGGAAGATTAGCACAGAGGTTGGCATTAACTCTAAAGGTATCCAAGCACTCAGTTCAAGAAAACTTCTGACACATGGGAGAGGAGCTTCTGTCACTGGAGTGGCCAAAGAGAGCATGTTAACAGGTACTGTGGGTTTTAGAATTTCAATTTAATCAATGTCAAGTTGTGCTGTTTCTACCTACATTCTATGTGTGTCTATGAGCTTTGGAAATAATCCACACTAAAAACATCAAAGCCTCTGACTGTAGATGGAACAGCTGCTCTAATGCTTTGCTAAGAGTTATGGGGATTGTTACCAAATGAGAAGGGAGGGCTAAAACCCTTAACTTGGGGATGGTCATTTCAGCTGTCTGCCTCAGTTTCAATCTGACCAGGATGGTTATATCTCAGTGCCAATTTCAGGAGGGTGTATAACCAAGTAAAATAAAAACGTAAGCTAGGTGGATCCAAGGTACTAGTGCTTTCTGTATCATAATGAGGAGAGTATACATCCTTAAGGAGGGAAGACAAGAACTAAGACAAAAAGACATTTACTTAGTACAACCCAACCACAATTCATGTCAATAGTTAATCTTTTATTTTCTGCCTCTTCAGACAGGCAAATCAGATATTTCTGATACCACTCTACTCCTCTACCATCACCTCTTCTTTTAGTCTAATGATTACCAAATTAAACATCAATATTAAAAAGACCTCAATGTTGAATATTGAGAATTTCACTTTGTGAGTCAATAAGGATATTTAAATCCAGATTTGGACTGCTTAGTTATATTAGATTAGGAAAATCTTATTAACAATACTATAAGCACGCACAATACATTCTAGAACCAGAAAATTTTTTTGTATTACTGACATCACTGCTCTTGTGTATTAGGGCAGATAACAAAAGTTGTCTTAAACAATATATCACCATGAGATTTTAGGCTACTTTACCTCTTTATTCTCTCATTTGAGACCATGGACAGTTTAACATAGTACAACATGAGAGTATCTTTGGAAAAAAGATCAAGAATTCAACCCCGAATTTCCTGAAAAACTAACATCCTAAGAAGTTACAGTTAAATTTAAAAATGCAAAAAACAAAAACCAATCAAACAAAAGAATATCAAAAGATACTCTATTTTGCAGAAGTAAAAAAAAAAAAGAAAAAATTATTCTCAAGTCTAAAGAAAATATTTAGAAATCATAAAAAAAAAAAAAAATACTCTATTTAATTACAGCTTTAGTATTCAGTCTCTCAGGCACTTCCAAAACTGCTGCTTGATATTAGCCAGGAAGACAATTTTGATAAATGTAAAAAAACAAAACAAACAAACAAACAAAAAAAACCCAAGCAACTAATTTAAGAATATAAATATACATAGAAAACAGCTTTCTACTTTGGTCCAAGTTGCAGCTTTAGGCATTTCCCTGATTTTTAAACTCCCTACAGAAGCAATTCTTGTACCTCCTCCTCCTCGACAGTCTTCTCCCCTGCCAAAGCTGTGGAAAATTCTAGTGGGAGAATATGTGGGTTCAACAGAGGAGGAGGAGGAGAGGAAGCTAAAACGAGGAACAACAGCTTAAGGGAGTCAACACTCAGACTAAAGAGGGGTAGTTCCTCTCCCCCAAAATACTGTCCCGTATATTTTCACATCCTTTGTAACAATACTTGAAGTCCTACCAGCTGGAAGTTTTTTTTTTTTTTTTTGAGAGAGAGTCTTGCTCTGTTGCCCTAGGCTAGAATGTAGTGGTGTCATCATAGCTCACAGTAACCTCAAACTCCTGGGCTCAACCAATCCTCCTGCCTCAGCCTCCCAAGTAGCTGGGGCTACAGGTGCTCACCATCAGGCCTGGCTAATTTTTTTCTATTTTTGGTAGTCTTGAACTCCTGACCTCAAGCAATCCTCCCTCCTCAGCCTTCCAGAGTGCTACAATTACAGGCCTGAGCCACCATGCCCGGCCTTTTTTTTTTTTTGCCCTTGAGATGGAGTATGGCTCTGTCATCCAGGCTGGAGTTCAGTGGCGGGATAATAGCTCACAGCTCACTGCAGCCTTGAACTCCTGGGCTCAAGCAATCCTCCAGCCTCAGCCTCCCAAAATGCTGGGGTTACTTTGAGAGACACTGTACCTGGCCTCATTTTTTGTTCATGACTAGTAAGGAAATATTGTCTTCCTCAACAAAAGCCCAAACTGCCAAGGTTGGCACTGGGTGAGGAGTCACGGACTGAGCAGATTTAGACCCTGAGCATTATAGCTGCTCTTTGGAGGAGGGGAAGAATCTTTCCCTTTCCCTGTACTCTAAATATCCCCAGCCCTCCATTCCCACCTCCATCCCAGCCTTTAACAAAGGGTCAAGTTTGTTAAATACAGCTAGAACTCTGTGTCTCATTTTGTATGGCTCCTAGGGGAAAAGAGGCCTTCCCTGGGTCTTAACTTTCAAACTGCTAACCTGCTTATGTGACACATCTTTAACATCAACCAGTCAGGAATGCTGCCCATCTAGACCCACCAAGGGCAGAAAAGTCACCTGTCCTGCCTAATTAGAGCTAAGGGCTTGCACAGCCACTTCTGGTGTACAGTCTGGAATATTTGCTTCTTCACCTGGGACAAGTTATCTTTTTAGGTGAGACTTACCTACTTACAGAGATGTGGCCTCACCCTTATAGGACAAACAGAGCTTCCTAATGAAATAAGGTAAGGATTGCGGTTGGGGGGAAGTGCTCTATCAATGTCTTTTAGGAGACCAGGGGACGATCAGATCTTCATGCATCGGTATTAGCTCAACCAGGTGTCCTTCCTCCTTAATACCTAGCTGAGATCAGATCAATCAGATTAGCATGTAGAGTGATGGAAGGAAGGGAATGGATCTGAACGATTTTAGAGTCTGGAGTGCCACTTAGGGGAATGGATGAGACACCTACGTCAGTGCTGTGATGGAAGATTTAGATGGTATTGTGGGCAGAAGGAACCTAGTCACCAGATGGATGGAGACTAGGAAAGGGGGCAAGGAAGTATGAACAAATTGACCATTTAAAAATACGGGGGAGGAAGGAAGGTGGGTATTGCTAAAAAGGATACCATAAGAACAGGCTCTCATTGTATTCTTTTTTTTTTAACCTTTATTTGCATTTATTTTATGCTGAATTCACTCCCAGGCCATAAATTCTTATTTCTTCAGTTTCTTATAGGATGTCTTTTTCTTCTATGCAACCTTCTCTTCTAGTTTAGGAGAGTTTATTCTTTTTTTAGTAAGGATCATCTCAATGTGGCAGGGTAGTTCGCTTATGGGTTAATCTGACCATGAGCTCTGTAAGTATGGTACCACATCTTGGGGCTTTGTTCACCTGGAAGTGCCAAATGGCCAGAGAATCTACATACAAACCCTTAAGTTCAGCATTGCTCTCTGCATTTTTAAGCATGTGCAGCAAAAATTCAGCCCTGTTTTTGGGCCGCAGACCCTGTGTTCAGCCCCACTGTTTAGCGTAGGCACACCTACCGACTCCACCACAGCAGTATCTTTGAAAGCAATAACACACCCTGCTTCTATAAAGTGGTATCTTCCAGATACCTGGTGGCTTTTGTCTAAGCATACCTTTGATGGCTCGGGCAGTTCCGTGGGTGTTCTTAAAGAGAACATGAAGATTTGAACCCCTTGATTTACATGATTTTGTGCGGTTTTCTGGGGCAAGTGAATAAAGATCATTTT